GAGGGGATAAGCAAATATATTTCGAGTAAAAATTTATTATGCACTTTATAACCTTAAAACATTTGCCAGATCTCAAAGCATTCGGTTCTGTAGTCACTGACTAAATCAATAAAATAAATTCACGCATTCATTATTTTTTTGGGTCACCCTGTATATGCATATCCAAAAAATATGAATGGAATGATAAATCACAAGAAGAGACTCATCATATTTTGTACATTTTAGAAAGGATTTATTCAGCAAAATTTTTGGGGTGACGTCATCAATGTTTTAGAGGGGATAAGTAAATATATTGTGATTAAAATTTTATCATGCTTATCATAACTGCAAACCATCTGCAAGATTTCAAAGCATTCGGTTTTGTAGATTCCAAATTAAATGTCAACATGTTGTTTCCTAATTTTGATTTTTTTTCCAAAAATCTGGACGTTTCGGGTAAAATCTCAATTCGGAGTTATAAACTACATGTGTAGGACTATGTTATTTGATACAATTTAAAACCCAATTACTATGTATAATTTTTGAAGTGACGTCATCATGTTAGTGGTGACGAAGTACAAAATTTGACAACAATCGGTCCAGTACTTTCGGAGATTATCTGTCTAATAAAAATCCGGGACGGCAGACAGACGGACAGACAGACGGAAACGGGAGACCTATTTCTTCGTCTTCTAGGGGTCATGAAAGTTCGAGAAAACGTAAAAGTAGAGAGTTGGCCGACGGTCTCGATTACAATACTTCCTTTGCTTACGCTCGGGAAGTAAAAACTACAATTTCACACCGACTTTTCCGAAAATATTGCCCCGTGACCACATGCACTCTTCAGCACGTCAAGATTTTTGGCTCTGAATTTTTTGAGAATTTTTAGACTTTTTCAAATATGAAATTTTCCACCCATTTTTGACGATTTTCGAAATTTAACTAAATACATTTTCTTGTGGATTTCGAGCCGCAGAAGTCACTTCCGGCCTTATTTTTTCGATAACTCCAACGGTTTGGCCAGAATCGCCCATTGAAATATCGCAATTTTTAAAAAATCAAATTTTACTCCGAATATTCCGAGAATATTGCTCCGTGAACCTAAACACGCTATATTTTTGGAATCACCACGCCAAGGTCACTAGCTCCGAATTTTTTTAGAATTTTTAGACTTTTTCAAAAATAAAATTTCGACCCATTTTCGAAATTTAATTAATGCATTTTCTTGTTTATTTCGAGCAGCACAAGGCACTTTCTTCGGTAACGCCAATCGTTTTTCCGGAATTGAAATATCGCAATTTTTAAAAATTTCAAAAAATTCGAATTTCATGCCGAATATTTCAAAAATATTGCTCTGTGACCCTAAAGACGTTATATTTTTGGAATCAGCACGTCAAGATCTATAGTGCATCTTTTTTAAAAGTCGCCATAGGGATTCCCATGTTAAATTTTAGTCCCCATGTTAACTTTTGTTAGGGTGAAAACCCAGAGATGATTTTAGATTTTAGGGTTCTACTTTAATTTTCATTACCACTTTTGTTAATTTGTGCTTTAACAATAATAAAAATTATTTTGATTAAAAAAGTTTGGTACATCATAGACGGTTTTGACTTATCATTAACATAATTTTGATTTAATTATTAAATACCTGTAGCAGTTTTTAAAAAAGAAACAGAATGATGGAATTCAAATACAAATGAAAATAATGAAAGGTAATTTCACTGAAATTGTGTTTTTAATGAATACGATCGAAAAAACTTGTGTTTATAAATCTGTCATAAAATTTTCAAAATGTGCTTTTGCCGGATATGGAACGAGTAATCAAATTTTAGAAACGTCAGGTAAATGTCTGTTTTTACATGGCTGCCTACAATATTAACGACAAAAATACCCAAATATTTTAATTTTTGTAAAGAAATATCCTTTAATTTAAAATAAGAGTTTTAATAAAATCGACAATAAATAACCCAAATTTCATCCAGTAAAAATTTCAGCTCTGAATCTTTACTCAAACATGAGTTAACATGGGGTCTAAAATTTAACAGGGCCACTTTTAAAAAAGATGCACTGTATAATTCTGATTTTTTGAAAAATTTTGCAACTTTTTCAAAAATGAAATTTTCCACTGTTTCATTTTTGACAAATTTTCGAAAATTAACTGGATATATTTTCTTAATGATTTCAGGCCGCAGGAGTCAATTCCGGTGTCATTTCTTCGATAACTTCAACCGTTTTTCCAAAATCCCCCATTGAAATGTCGCAATTTTTAACAATTTCAAAAATCTACAATTTCACACCGAATTTTCCGAAAATATTTGCCCGTGACCACACGCACTGTACAGCACGTCAAGATTTTTGGCTCTGAATTTTTTGAGAATTTTTAGACGACTTTTTCAAATATGAAATTTTCCACCACGTATGCAAATGCAAATTTCGACCCACTTTCAATAAATTCATTTTCTTGTGGATTTCGAGCCGCAGAAGTCACTTCCGGCCTAATTTCTTCGATAACTCCAACGGTTTTGCCAGGATCGCCCATTGAAATATCGCAATGTTTAAAAAATTCAAATTTTACTCCGAATATTCCGAGAATATTGCTCCGTGAACCTAAACACGCTATATTTTTGGAATCACCACGTCAAGATCACTAGCTCTGAATTTTTTCAGAATTTTTAGACTTTTTCAACATAAAATTTCGACCCATTTTCGACGATTTTCGTCGGTAACTCCAATCGTTTTTCCAGAAAGGCCCACTGAAATATCGCAATTTTTAAAAATTTCAAAAAATTCGAATTTCATGCCGAATATTTCGAAAATATTGCTCTGTGACCCTAAACACGTTATATTTTTGGAATCAGCACGTCAAGGTCTACAGTGCATCTTTTTTAAAAGTCGCCATATGGATTCCCATGTTAAATTTTAGTCCCCATGTTAACTTTTGTTAGAGTGAAAACCCAGAGATGATTTTAGATTTTAGGGTTCTACTTTAATTTTCATTACCACTTTTGTTAATTTGTGCTTTAACAATATAATAAAAATTATTTTGATTAAAAAAGTTTGGTACATCATAGACGGTTTTGACTTATCATTAACTTGTCATTTTTGACAGCATAATTTTGATTTAATTATTAAATGCCTTTATTGCAGTTTTTAAAAAAGAAACAGAATTCAGACATAAATGAAGATAATAAAAGATAATTTAAATTCAAAAAACCTGTGTTTATAAATCTTTCATAAAATTTTCAAAATGTGCTCTTGCCGGATATGGAACGATCTGGGAATGCTGCAGCAGAGTAATCAAATTTTAGAAACGTAGCGACAAAAATATCCAAATATTTTAATTTTTTTAAAGAAATATCCTTTAATTTAAAACATGACTTTTAATATTATCGACAAAAGATAACCCAAATTACATCCAGTAAAAATTTCAGCTCTGAATCTTTACTCAAACATAAGCTAACATGGGGTCTAAAATTTAACATGGCCACTTTTAAAAAAGATGCACTGTATAATCCTGAATTTTTTTGAAAATTTTGCAACTTTTTCAAAAATGAAACTTTCCACTACATATGCACACTTGGACCCCTCTATTCAGATTAGTGGATGTTCGGAAGAATCGTGGGTTCGGATTATAGAGGTTATACTGTACATATGGATTTTTTTAAGAAAATCTCATTGAAGCTTTTCGGCCACCTGTTGTTCCACCAGGCCATCCGACAATATTTGTAATTGCAGAATCCTAAATCTTCACCGGACATAGTTTTCGCCGGTTTTTGACACGTCTATTAAGTTGATTGATCTCTTAACACCAAGAAGTCAATACTCTTTCATTGTACTTGAAAATTAATAACACCGTAATTAACTTTGACGTGACCAGTTTAAGGAAGATAATTAATTTAAATATGCCGTTAAGACAGTTTCAATCAAATTTTTTTTATTTTAGACACTATTATTAATTATTCGTTAATTCAGTTAACTCAATACAATTACGTAAATCAAATCAGCACCAACCGCTTGACATTCGTGTAATAAATAAGAGAAAACCGCCCATGTAAAATTCCACTTTTGCCTTCCGTTTTAATCAAGCGCTTATTTAAATAACAAAAAAGTTGAAAGCTTTAAAAGCAAAAAATAGAACTATAGCGAGTTATTAACATTCTGAAATAACTCAGATGGGAGTAGTTTAAGGTCAAGGTTGAAGTCAAGGAAACGAAAACGTAATAAATTCTTTCTTGACTCACACAAAACTCAGTTATATATAACAGGTAAATTCACCTTGCAAAATCGTGTCTATAAATAAATCCTCGTTCGTGCCCTTTTAGTTATTAAGGACAACACAATTCGATTTTTTTTTTAATATATGCGACGTTTCTGAAGACAAGTTCATAAACCAATTTTTTAATACATACCACATGCTGCTGAAAATTACGTTTATTAGACATTTAGGGTTGAAATTTTCGTTGAGAATGGAATTAATTTTACAGTTTTTACTACCTTGATAAATCTGCTTTCTATTTGATTAGATTCTCGTTGTAACTTAATCTATTCGAATTCACCCCTATGTCTCCAGGAGGGTTCCCAAATGAAATTGTCGAGTAATCACATTAACCTGTCACGGTGACAATGTACTTTTAAATCAAAGCAGGTCTTTATTGTTCCATTACGTTTGCATAATCTTCCACCAATAACAACAACACAATCGATTCAGTTTCCACTTGAGAAAAACACATTTTCTTTTGACAAGTGTGACAATTCCCTGTTTGACATTTACCACTCCGCAACTAGATTTTGTTGTGATCGGAATTAATTAAGGTGTGTGCATCAAAAACAAGCAGGCTGATGTCATTCCAACAATACCAGTTGTGTACTTTTCCGTCAACGGTCATAATTTCGTACAACAATAGCAACAACACGCTAACTTGATTGTTGGCGGTTATATAACCCAACGATAAACCACGGGGGTGCAACTCGTCCAGGGGCCCCACATAAACAATGCATCCGCACAACTAAACAAAGCTCACCTCGGACGAATCGGGCCCGTGAGCCCCCGCAAGGGCGTTCGGATCATTCGTGTTCATCCTGGAAGTCGTCGGGGCTCCGCAAAATGTCACTTTCCATTCAAATCGGCCCCACGGCAGCGCTTTTTCAAAATATCACGTGAAAATTTTCACTGTCATTGTCTACACCAGAACGGGGGGACGCGAGAGGTAGCCATTACAAAACCGAAACGCGATTTTCGCACTTTCAGCGCTCGAGCCGGCGCTGGGCCCCACGAGACTTCGCACAGAGTCGCCCCGACACCAGACGCGTCGTTTTCATCGCTTTCCGCGATCACATTTCGCCGAATTTCACCGAAAATTTTTATTCTAGACAGAAACGGTCGCGGGGCGCCTCAAACAATAAACAGAGAGAATCAACATGGCCGAGACTGAATCCAAACGAATGCGTCATAACATAAACAAAGGATATTTTGCGGCCGGGAGGGCGAAGGGCCGCGAATCGGACGGAAATCGGCGGGACTGCGCCCCGGGAACGTTTCGGGGCAAGCGAGCGACCCACGGGCGCCCCCCTTTGCCGTAATTTTAATTCGCAATTTTAAATTATGAACCCCCCACTGTCAACAATTAAGCGCCGCCCACTGGCGCTCGGTCGGTACGGGAGGCGCCAAATTCGAATCGGGAGAACAAAGGGACGGTTGAGGATTTGCGGGAGGATGTGGCGGAGTCGGCGACGACAACGGGATAATGGGGGTGGCGGCGGAAACCACCCCTTTAAAGCTGTTAATGTCGCAAAAGTCCTTATTTTTTTCCGAAAACAGTGCCAAAAAATACACAATTAAAAACCTTTTAGGTTATAATCGACTACAATATTCATCATATGATTGGCACGACTGATTTGAAAATGTCGTAATTTTAATTTGATGTTGTGTGATTTTCATGTGGATGAACTGGAAATCTAACCCAATCTCACATTTAGCGAAAATAGAGTGTGGTGACATTCATCGAAAACTGTTTGGTTAAATGTCTTCAAACAAGTAAATTTTGTAGATGATTCCTCATTTTTTTTTTTAATAATGACTCCTAAACACAATTTACACTTACGTTTCATTATCAAAAGTAATATTGTTATCCTCCCGGTCACTTAGCAAGTTTATTTCTTGTCGAGACGTTTCACTAATTTTGAACTTAGGGCATGAATTATATGATAAAAGACATTATTTTAGTTTGTATGACTAAGTATTTATTTCTTTTAATTCTGAGATAACGAAGCTGTTACTTCTGGAAGACAGAAACTTGAATCATTTGATAATAGTTTTCAACAGCCTGCTCTAAAATTTATCAAATTATATACCAAAGAGACTTTCATTTTATTAATGTGATTTAAATGATACAAATCGCTTGTTAAAGACGGAGATGATTTCAAATCATGTCCCTTTTCAAAATTTGCAAAATTATCAATAAATTTCATTTCTACTGTATTGCAAGGTAGCTCATATGTTTGCATAATCTTATCAGGTAATACTATATATTTTTTTACTCCTATCAACTGGATACAGCATAAAGTTTTGTACCACAAATTTACTACATCTTATGCCAAAACCTTTCCGAACTGATCGATTAGAAGAGTCCATGTCAGATGATGTTATAAGTATTTGTCGAATTAAGCCCTATTTTGGTGCAAAGATCATTAATCTTTAGAAGATACATGATTAAAGATTTTACGTCTACAGAATTCACTCTAAAATGATAGGAGATAATTTGTTTTCATCGACTACTGACTCCACCTAATATAACAACCTACATCTTCGGAGTTCCTTAGTGTCCAGTCCAAACATGATAGATAAAGCAACACAGTATTGTTTTCCAGGAGTTATTACTGTTTCATCCAAAAATAAAGAGAAGTCTTATTCAAACTCACTTAAATCTTCCATTTTAGTAGTTAATAAAAGATTTCATGAAGTATCCCTGTCATAATTGTACTATGCTTATACACTTTTCTACTTAATGTTCTTAAGGGCGCCAGTCGATCGTTAAATTTTAAAAGAGTTAGATAACCAGATTATCCGCAACAAAAATTAATTTGTAATCCTTTCTCTACATTTTTCTTATCCCATCTTCTTAAAATTTTAGATCTAGATCAATTTAGAACTTCACTAACATTCATTCCAAATTTTCTAAACATTGTTCCAAAATCAGATTTTGTTTATTATTCAGGTGATTTTTTAAATTAAACACTTGAATCTTCAAACAGCTGACTTCTTGTTTAAGTATTTCAATTGAGATGAATTTTTCATTCGTTATCAGAGCGGGGGGCGGAGCTTAATTGCAAAATCGATATTTCTCTGCAAAAATTTACCATTTTAAACATGTTTTAAGTATTTTGTTATGAAAAAAAGAACATATGTTAAGAAAAAACTGGCGAAATATAAACTCCGCCCACCCACCCTATCTTAATTGTGATGATTCTTTTTATTCGTCATTAACCGGGGGGCGGAGCTCAATTGCAATTCTCGTTTTTCTCCAAAATATTATCATATGAAACAAGTTCTTAAATAAGTGTGTTGTTCAAAGAAAACTATACTATGTACTAAGTTGAAAAGAAAGCCAAAGATTAAACCCCACCTATACCCGCGCTGATCTCTACTGTGCTGAATTTTTCATTCGTTGTCAGACCGAGGGGCGGAGCATAATTGCAAAATCGATATTTCTATACAAACATTTAAACTTTAAAATAGGTAGTTTGAAAACCAAAGTATCTGCAGCAAAATTTAATTTTTGATCTTTTTTTTATATTTTTGTTATTCCATCTTCTCAAATTTTTAGATCTAGATAAACTTAGAACTTCATTAACATTGTTTCAAATTTTCCAAACATGTTTAACTTCAAATTCAGATTTCAAATTTCAAGTTTTAAATTAAAAATTTCTCTACGGTGTTCCAAAAGCAGATTTTGTTTATTACTCAGGTGATTTTTTAAATTAAACACTTGAATCTTCAAACAGCTGACTTCTTGTTTAAGTATTTCAATTGAGATGAATTTTTCATTCGTTATTAGAGCGGGGGGCGGAGCTTAATTGCAAAATCGATATTTCTCAGCAAAAATTTACCATTTTAAATTTGTTTTAAGTGTTTTGTTATGAAAAGAAGAACATATGTTAGAAAAAACTGGCAAAATATAAACCCCGCCCACCCACCCCATTTTAATTGTGATGATTTTTTTTTTATTCGTCATTAACCGAGGGGCGGAACTCAATTGCAATTCTCGTTTTTCTCCAAAATATTACCATATGAGACAAGTTCTTGAATAAGTGTGTTGTTCAAAGAAAACTATACTATGTACCAAGTTGAAAAGAAAGCCAAAGATTAAGCCCCACCTATACCCGCCCTGATTCAATTGTGTTGAATTTTTCATTCGTTGTCAGACCGAGGGGCGGAGCATAATTGCAAAATCGATATTTCTATACAAACATTTAAACTTTAAAACAGGTAGTTTGATAACCAAAGTATCTGCAGCAAAATTTAATTTTTGATCTTTTTTCTATATTTTTGTTATTCCATCTTATCAAATTTTTAGATCTAGATAAATTTAGAACTTCATTAACATTGTTTCCAAATTTTCCAAACATGTTTAACTTCAGATTCAGACTTGAAATTTCTGATTTCAAATTAAAAATTTCTCTACGTTGTTCCAAAAGCAGATTTTGTTTATTACTCAGGAGATTTTTTAAATTAAACACTTGAATCTTCAAACAGCTGACTTCTTGTTTAAGTATTTCAATTGAGATGAATTTTTCATTCGTTATCAGAGCGGGGGGCGGAGCCTAATTGCAAAATCGATATTTCTCTACAAAAATTTACAATTTTAAAATGTTTTAAGTGTTTTGTTATGAAAAGAAGAACATATGTTAGAAAAAACTGGCAAAATATAAATCCCGCCCACCCACCCCATCTTAATTGTGATGATTTTTTTTATTCGTCATTAACCGGGGAGCGGAGCTCAATTGCAATTTTCATTTTTCTCCAAAACATTATCATAGGAAACATGTTCTTAAATAATTGTGTTCTTCAAAGAAAATTATACCACGTATTAAGTAAAAAACGAAATCCAAAGATTAAGCTCCACCTATACCCGCACTGATCTCAATTGTGATGAATTTTTCATTCGTTGTCAGACCGAGGGGCGGAGCATAATTGCAAAATCGATATATCCCTACAAACATTTAAACTTTAAAATAGGTAGTTTGATAACCAAAGTATCTGCAGTAAAATTTAATTTTTGATCTTTTTTCTATATTTTTGTTATTCCATCTTCTCAAATTTTTAGATCTAGATAAATTTAGAACTTCATTAACATTGTTTCCAAATTTTCCAAACATGTTTAACTTCAAATTCGGACTTCAAATTTCAGGTTTTAAATTAAAAATTTCTCTACGTTGTTCCATAAGCAGATTTTGTTTATTACTCATGTGATTTTTTAAATTAAACACTTGAATCTTCAAACAGCTAACTTCTTGTTTAAGTATTTCAATTGAGATGAATTTTTCATTCGTTATCAGAGCGTGGGGCGGAGCTTAATTGCAAAATCGAAATTTCTCTGCAAAAATTTACGATTTTAAATATGTTTTAAGTGTTTTATTATGAAAAGAAGAACATATGTTAACAAAAAAAATGGCAAAATATAAGCCCCAACCACCCACCCACCCTATCTTAATTGTGATTTTCTTTATTCGTCATGAGCTAATTATTAACTGATTAAAAGCTAATTTGATAGTTATTTGTTCCTCTCCTGGCTAAAATTATATTTTCCTTAAATTTGAAGTATTTTTGAGCTCAGTTGTTTTAACCTCGAAAAAATCCTCGCTCTATAACAATTCATATCAAGTCACTCTTAGTAAAACAAGAGGTTATATGTATAAGATTTCTACGATTTTAACAAAAACTTTGCAACAATCTTTATTCATTTAGTGGACGGACCAAAACTACTTTAAATCTTAAAACTAATCTTCTATTGCCTCTTCAACAAACTCGTCATCTTCTTCATTATCCAGCTTCGTCTTCACCGGAACCAACATCGAAACAGGAACACCCAACCCCTGCGCTAAAGCTTCAATCAACTCCTTACTTAAGTAATAAGTAATGGGCGTGTTTCCACTAATCAACAAAATCTGCTTCAACTCCCCCAACAACTGCTTCGCTTCAGCGTAATTCTGATTCTTGACAAACTCCTGGATCATGACGGCGTAAACGTCGCCTCTGCGGACCGAAGCCTCCAGCTCCTTTCCCCCAGTCATCAACAGTTGGCGACACTGCGCTATCCCTAATAACACACTCACACTCAACCCTACACACATTTTATAATAATTACGCAATCACCTGCTTGGGGATCTCCACGTTCAATCAGCCTCCGAATATCCACGAATCTTTTGATCATAGTGAGGCGCTGTTGCACGATTTCGGTCGCCCTCTGATGCTGCCCCACGTCCTTAGGGTTGCTAATTTTACCCAAACACCGCGACGCTTCAGTCAAAGCTCCGTAAGCTTTCTCGTAATTTTTGAACTCGTCGATCTCCACTTGGGCACAAGCGACGTAAAAATTTGCCAATAAATCGAGAGCTTTTCCTTTCGAGTAGAACGTTATTATGTTTCTTAATATTTCGGAGTTGTTTTGCCAATCTAGAGACTGGAGATAGTTTGCCGCCATTATATAAATCTCTCTTTGACGTGAAACTCCTGCGAAAAATATGATCTTGTCTGTATCGCCCGATTTTAACAAAGCTTTCATCGCTCGGATCTGTAAAAAGTAAAAAATATGGTATTTTAGTAACTTTTGTGTCGTTACTTACTTTATCACCGGCTTGGGTGAATTTTTTGGTGGCTAGATGATAATTGCCTTGTAGCATAAGACTTTCGGCTAGTGTCTGAAGTACGTTGATTCGATCAATTTCGTCTAATTGGTCCTTCTCTGGGGTTAATTTCTCAGCTAAATCCTCCGTTAATTGCACATGATGTGTTAGACAGATGGTGATAGCTTCTTTGAATTTTTTAGCGATTGCGAGTAAATCAACGGCTTTATCAAATTGTTCGTTAGTTACGAAGTAATCGGCACACTTTTCCACCAGAGCTGGATCAGAATCAGCATCTAAGTCAGTCGCTATTTGTTGTAAAGTGTCAAACTGTTGAGCTTTGAAGGCTAAATCAAGAGCCTTGTGGAGCATCCCCGCTCTGTGGTACAAAATGACAGCTTTGTCTAATGAATACACTTCTTCGAAATAACGGGCACACTCTAACTTCTCTCTATTACTGGCAACTGAGCCGATATTCCACAGTTCTTCAGCCATGTGGTTTTCCTTACACAGACGAACAGCGTTACCTAAAACATATATTTTTACTAAATATATTACACACATATTATATAGTACTATCTCACTATATGCATTCGCCTTCGTGAAAAAATTCACAGCCTCTTCATAATTTCCAGTCGTTTCATAAAACCTCGCCATGTGATAATAAGCCGCTTTGTCTCTCCCAGACCGCGCAAGCTCAGCCGCTTTGCTCTCCTCACCAAGAAAGCAAAGGACCCTCACTTGCGAATAAATATCACCAGCACTACTATAGACTTTCAGGGCCGCTTGCATTTCGCCCTGAGACTCTATATACTGTCCCCACCACTTCAACAAGTCCCTGAAACATCACTCGACTAAACTGAAAATAACACAGGACCACTTACGGGTCCTTGGTTTTGGCCATGAAACTCTCCAGTTGTTGCGGTTGATCTAAGAGCATTCTTGGTATGTCGAACTTGTGGGTGTTTGCTCGTTCGTATCGAATCGCGGCTTCTTTCAAATCGCCGCTTTGCTCGAGACTTTTGGCCCAAGCGTGCTCTGTGTTTTTCAGATGGATGCGGTCCTGGGATTCGGCGATGGCGTGGGCGGCGTCCATTTTGTTACGACTTCGGAGAAGTTTGTTGAGGAGGTCGTAGCGGCCGCATTGGACGTAGAGTTGCTCGGCTTCGTCCTTAAAAAAATGATCGAAGGTTAGTTTGATAGAACTTTCCATGTCCTTGAAGTATAGCCGAACAAATCCCGCTTCTTGGAAAATTATAAACATTTGAAACATTAAAAATCAGAACATCCAAAGTTCTAAAAATTGAGAAATTTGAATATCGAAAAACTGAAAAACTGGAAAATAAAAAAAATCCATAAATTGAAAAATCTCCAAACTCTATTTTGAGAAAATTGGGAATGAAAAATTCCAAACATCGAAAAACTTAAAAATCTAAAAACCGAAAAATTGAAAAACCGACAAACTGAAATCCAAAAAGTCGAAAAATTGAATGTTCGAGCAATCCAAATATCAAAAATTCAAAAATAAAAAAAAAAAACGAAAAATTTAAATATCCAAAAATTGAAAAATCTAAAAATTAAAAATTTCCTAAATTAAAAGAGTGAACAATTGAGACATTTATAATTTGATAAATCAAGAAATCGAAAAATTAAGAATCGGGGAAACCAAACAACGAAAAATTAAAAAAAAAAAATCAAGAAATTGAGAAATCTCCACACTAAATTCTCGAAAAATTGGGAAATCGAAAAATCCAAATGTCAAAAAATTGGGAAATTGTAAAACTGAAAAATCTAAAAATCGAAAAATTAACAAAATTATAGATTTTAAAAAGCGACAAATTGAGAAACCGATAAAACGAAATGCGAAAAGTCAAAAGAGCAATCGAGACATCAAACAATAAAAAAATTAAAACTTAAAAATTTGAATAGTCTACATATTCGAAAAGTTGAAAAACCGACAAACTGAAAAATAGAAGAACTGAAAAACAAAAAAGAAAATCTAAAAATTGAAAAATCCAAAAACCGAAAAAAGAAAAATTTAAGAAATCGAAAATTTGAAAAATCGAAACACTGAAAAATAAAAAAGCCGAGAAATTGAAAAATCGTCACACTGAATACTCTGGGAAATCGAAAAATCGAAACATCGAAAAGTTTAAAAATTGAAAAACTAAAAAATCGAAAAATTGTAAAAATCGGAAAATTGAAAAATCGAAATTTTAAAAATCGAAAAACCAAGATGTCCACAAATCGAAAAATTAAAAAAACCGATAATTGAAAAATTTAAGAAATCGAAAAATTCGAAAATCAAAAAACTGAAAAATAAAAAAAAATAGAGAAATTGAAAAATCTTCAAATTGAATTCTCAGAAAACTAGGAAATAGAAAAATTGAAAGAACAAAAATTTGTAAAATCAAAAAACATCGTGCGAAAAACTCAAAAATCTAAAAACCGAAATAGTAAAAAATCAAAAATTTTAAAAATCAGAAAATTAAAAAACCGACAAGTCGAATATCCGAAAAGTCGAAAAATTGAGAGATCCAGCAATTGAAATATCAAAAATCTACAATGTAAAAAATTGGAAAATTTAAATCTCGAAAATTGAAAAATCAAAAAAAAAATCGAGAAATTCAAAAGTCCCCAAACTGACTTCACGTAAAATTAGGAAAATCGAAGAACTGAAAAATAAAAAAGAAAATCGAAGAACTGAAAAATAAAAAAGAAAATCGAAAAATTGGAAGATCTAAAAACCGAAAAATTAGGAATTCAAACTTTTTGAAAATTGAAAAATTGAAAGAGGAAAAATTTAAGATATTGAAAAATTGAAAAATCCACACTGAATTCTCTGGGAAATCGAAAAATCAAAACATCGAAGTTTAAAAATTGAAAAACTGAGAAACCCCAGTAATTAAAAAATCAAAAATTTGAAAAATCGACAAATCTAAATTTACAAAAACGAAAAACTGAAAAATTCTCAAAGTTGAAATTTGAAATTTTAAAAATCGAAAAACCAAGATGTCGAGAAATCGAAAAAAATCTTCAAATTGAATTCTCCAAAAACTGGAACATCGAAAAATCGACAGTACAAAATTTTGAAAAATCGAAAAACTCAAAAATCTAAAAACCGAAATAGTAAAAAATAAAACATTTTAAAAATCCAAAAACTGAAAAACCGACAAGTCGAATATCCGAAAACTCGAAAAATCTAAAGATGGAGCAACTGAAACATCAAAAATCTACGATTTAAAAAATTGGAAAATTAAAACCGATAACTGAAAAATTTAAGAAATCGAAAAATTGAAAAATCGAAAAACTGAAAATGGAGAAATTCAAAAGTCTCCAAACTGGCTTCATGTAAAATTGGGAAATCGAAAAACTGAAAAACATAAATGCCGAAAAATAAAAAAATCAAAAAGTTTAAAAATCGAAAAACTGAAAGACCGACAAATGGAAATCCGAAAGATCGCGCAATCGAAACATTCAAAAATCAACATCTCACATTTAAAAAAATTGAAAAATTTAAATATCGAAAAATTGAAAAATTCCAGAAATTGAAAAACTGAAAAAATTGAAAAAATGAAAAATCCCCAAACTGAATTTTAAAAAAATTTTGAAATCAAAAAATAAAGACATCGAAAAATTGAAAAATCTAGAAACCGACAAATTAAAAACTCAAAAAACTGAAAAACCCGGAAATTGAAATGTTGAATATTTGTGAAACCACAAACTTGGTAAATCGAGAAATCAAAAACATGGAAAAAAATTGAAATATAAAAAATGTAAAAATCGTGAAACCGAAACATCGGAAAATTGAAAATCCGAAAAAAGAATAATTTAAAAACCGAAAAATTGAAAAATCGAAAAACAGAAAAAAAATAGAAAAACTGAAAAATCTCTAAATTGAATTCTCGAAAAATGGGAAATCGAAAAATCGAAAAACTCTAAAATCTAAAACCGAAAGAGTAAAAAATGAAAAATTTTAAAAATCGAGGAATTAAAAAAAATTGAAATATTAAAAAATGTAAAAATTGTGAAACCGAAACAGGAAAATTGAAAAGTCAAAAAACTGAAAAAAGAAAAATTGGAAAAAAAAAGAAATCGAAAAATTGAAACATCGAGAAATCGAAAACTGAATAATTGAAAATTTTTAAATAAAAAAAATCGATAAAACAAAAAATTGAAAAATCGAAAAACTGAAAAAATAGAGAAATTGAACAATCTCCAAATTGAGTTCTCGAAAAATGGGAAATCGAAAAATCCAAACAACAAAATTTTTGGAAAATCGAAAAACTCAAAAATCTAAAAACCGAAAGTCAAAAATCAAAAATTTTAAAAATCGAGGAATTAAAAAAAATTGAAATATTAAAAAATGTAAAAATTGTGAAACCGAAACATAGGAAAATTGAAAACTCAAAAAATTGAAAAAAGAAAAATTGGAAAAAAAAAGAAATCGAAAAATTGAAACATCGAGAAATCGAAAACTGAATAATTGAAAATTTTTAAATAAAAAAAATCGATAAAACAAAAAATTGAAAAATCGGAAAACTGAAAAAATAGAGAAATTGAACAATTTCCAAATTGAGTTCTCGAAAAATGGGAAATCGAAAAATCGAAACAAAATTTTTGGAAAATCTAAAAACCGAAAGTCAAAAATCAAAAATTTTAAAAATCGAGGAATTGAAAAACCGACAAATCGAATATCCGAAAAGTCGAAAAATTGAGAGATCAAGGGATTGAAACATCAAATATCTACAATTTAAAAAATTGGAAAATTTAAATCTCGAAAATCGAAAAACCGAAAAATGAAAATTTAAGAAATCGAAAAACTGAAATATAAAAAAACGAGAAATTCAGAAGTCCCCAAACTGACTTCACGTAAAATTGGAAAATAGAAAAACTGAAAAATCTAAAAAACCGAAAAATTAAAACATCAAAAAGTTTAAAATCGAAAAATTGAAAAATCGATAACCGAAATCCGAAAGATCGAGCAATCGAAACATCCAAAAATCAAAATCTAACATTTAAAAAATCGAAAAGTTTAAATATCGAAAAATTGAAAAATTCCAGACATTGAAAAACCGAAAAATTGAAAGAAAAAGAAAAATTCCCAAACTGAATTTTCCAAAAACTGGGAAATCAAAAAATAAAGACATCGAAAAAGTGAAAAATCCAAAAACTAACAAATTAAAAACTCAAAAAATAGAAAAATCTAGAAATTGAAAATTGTGAAATCAAAAATTTCATGAATCGAAAACCCGAAAAATGGAAAAAAATTGAAATATTAAAAAATGTAAAAATCGTGAAACCGAAGCATCGGAAAATTGAAAAAAGAATAATTGAAGATCTCGAAAAATTGAAAAATTGAAAAATCGAAAAATTGACTTCTGGGAAAACTGGAAAAAAGAGAAGTCGAAAAATTGAACGATTGAAAATTTTTAAATTAAAAAAAATCAACACCCAGAAGTCTGAACATCAAAAGGTCGAGAAATCAAAACATTCGAAAATTTAAAATTCTAAAATTTAAAAATTGGAAAATCTGACAAATAAGTAATGGAAGAACTGAAAAATCGACAAATCGAAAAATCTAAAATTTAAAAAATATTGAAAAATGCCAAAACTGAAATATCTAAAAATTGATAAATTGATAACTCGAAAACTCAAAAAATTCAAAAAATCCAAAAACTGAAACGAAAAATTTGAAAAATCACAACCCTAAGAAATCAAAAAATTGTAGAATTGAAAAACTGAAAAATCAACATCGAAAAGTCGATTAATCGAGAAATTAAAAAATCGAAAACGTGGGAACACTAAAAATTGAAAAATTTAAAAATGGAGAAACTGAAGAATCGAAAAATTGGAATATCGGAAAATAAAAAATCCAGAAATCGAAAATTTGAAAAATCGAGAAATTAAATCTCATAACTGAAAAACCCAAAAACTGAAACATCAAGAAATCGAAACACCAAAAGATCAAGAAATCGAAATATCGAGAATTCGAAAAATCGGGAAATTGAACAATCGAAAAACTGAAGAATTTTAAAAACGACAAATTGAAAAATCAAAAATTCAAAAATTTTAAAAACCAAAAAATTGAAAAACCTAAAACTGGGAAGTCGAAAAATCGAAAGATCGATCAGTCGAAACATCAAAAAATTGGTCAAAATTTATTTCGAGAGAACTTCCCTCGCACCTGAAGTACAATGAAACATCTCCAGCTTTTTCGAACAAATCCCGCCTCTTGGAAAAATTATAAAACGTGATTTCGAGATTTTTATTTTGTGATAATCTCATATCGGGCGGAAATTCTAAAGGGACCTAGTCCGCACAGATACGGACAATGTAAAATATATTTAGAGCAGATAATCAACAGGAAAAGATGTCCTCTCAGTAATAGTAACATATTTAACTTCAAGTGTTTATGTTTATGCAGCCAAAGAATGTCAAGTGTCTCCTCAAAACAGGGTACTAAAATTATTAAATAAGACTTAAATTAAGTAACTTACCAACATCCCCAAATGCACCGCCAACACCGCCAATTTCGCCTCGTGCGGCAGCTGCCCATCCCCCATCGCCACCCTCAGCGCCATCGCCGCCCTCGCGTTCCCCATGTGCCCCAAGCACACCCCCGCCACATCCAGCCGCCTCGTCTTCACGCACATCCGCGCTAGACTGCCCCAAACCCCCGGGTTCTGCACCAGCTTGATCGCCTTGAACGCCTCGTCCATATTCCCCAGGCTCAAATTATAACTAAAATCCAGAACGGCGTTCCTCGTCGCCTTATTACAGGCCTCCAACCCCGCAAAGTCGCTCATCACCTCCCTTATCACTATTAACTTCTCCAAAAGAACTATATGTGGGGTAGCCAAAGCTAACAACCTCGAATCGTTATCCACCCCCCTGATGTCGTGCATCTTGATCCCATGCTCCGACGAAATAAACAACGTGATAACGATATGATCCTCGTCCTTAAGGGTCGGTTTAAGGTCGGTCTTCGCCTTAGAAAAGGTCACCGATTTGTTATCGGCGGGTAGTTTGACCCTTTTGGCGTCGCAGACGAGGAGGCGAGCGTCACTGGTGTCCCAGAAGAGGTGCAAAGGAATACGATTGGAGCAGATTTCGTCGAAAAGGGCCTTAGTTTCGTCGGATTCGTCCAAATTCTCGTCAGCCAGTTCTTGGATTTTTTCGTCCATGCTGTATTCGTCTGGGGTTGACTCCCCTAAATTGCCGTATTTGTGGAAGTCGTACGACAGCAAAAGGTCAGTTTCGACGTCCCAGATGTATAATTTACCATCTGGGATCAAGTTGGAGGCGGCTAAAGTCATGGCCACTTTGTTTCCAGAGCAGTTACTTTTGGCCTGGATGATTTCGCCGAAATCGGGACACATGTCGTAAATGTTTCGACCAGGGACTGTCAATTTGGGCTCGTTGTCGGTTAGTTCGTAGATTTTTAAGTACCCTTCGATGGTAAAGAGGGTTAGGTAGTTTCCAGTTGTGTCAATACCGATGGGTTCGCCTTCTACGGTTGTGGTTACAAGAGTGGTTAAGGTAGACCCGTTCAAATTCCGCAACAAGACGGATTTTGGGGTTAGAATAATGATGATTTTTTTGTAAATTAGAATCTTTTCGTTGTCACACGAGAATGACGTTAACATTTTTATACTAAAGTCAGTACTGGTTTCAGTTTGTTTACTTATAGATGAGTTCAGTTCAAAGCGTTCTGAATCGGGTGACTCCCAGTAGATTTCGTAGACGGAAATCAAGCGACCGTTGGTGAAAATCGCGTAGTTTTCGTTGATACTCATATCAGTGACTTGTGCTTCTAGTTGTAGCAAAAAATTACTTTTTTTGCTTTCGACAAGTATTTGGTTGGCGGTTTTCTGCGTACACCAAATTTCCTCACAGAAACAAGTAGAGATGGTTTGTTCCCTCATGATATACACTGAAGTGACGCAGTTCACGCTCAGTAGTGGCAACCTTAGTTGGAAAGAGCCCCAAATTAACTGCTTCACAGTCCCACTAACCGTGTTAACATTATTCAACTCCCAGTCATCCTCCGGGTTGTCAATCTGACCCTTGTTGACATTCCTAGTCCAGAAATAAATCCTCCCGATATTCGTCCCAGCACACAAAGTCTGATTCAACTTACAAAACGCCAGACACGTGAAACTCTCATTCAAACTCCGATTCCTCTCCTCGTTCGAATAAAACTTCAACGTCGTTGGTAACACGTAATTATCATTAGATTCTATATCCCAAACCCGTACCACCAAATCCCCGGTCAAAATCGCCAGACTGGTACTACTGCACCAAACCAACCCCTGGTTACCCACCCCCCGACTCTGCACCCGCCCGCTCAACTTAACCTTGGCCAACTCGTTCAAGTGCCCTTGGTTGTCTATAGCAAAATGGCCGACTGTCAGTCCTTCCATCATCACGACCAGCGAGTCCTTGATTGGGTGATGGACGATGTACGACAGCGGGACTCCTTCGGTGTTGAGGACTTCCATGCAGGAGCCCGTGGTGTTCACGTAGTAGATGGAACCCACCTGGGTGCCGACGTAAAAGTTTAAATTGTCGGAACCTTCCTGGGCTCGGAATTTGCGAGCCGTGGTTTTCGGGCGCCAGTTGCTGAAGATGTCGAGGGCGCGCTCGTCGCCGTTGACGGCGGCTTTGGCGAGGTGCTCCATGTCGTACTCCGGGTGGGTTTTGATGGTTCGCCGGAAGGTGAGGTGGGTGATGGACTCTTTGAGGTCGAGGTGGAACACGATAATGGTCTGGCTTTGGGTGTCGACGATTTTCCAGCCGACCAGCGAGCCTGCCTATATAATAATATGTATGTAATATAGTATTATTAAAAACATATGTTTTAGGTAATATAGTGCGTCCTTGTATTTTTTCAGAATTTTTAGACAACTTTTTTAAAACTGAAATTTTTCCAATGGCCAAATTTTGACATTTTCGAAACTTAACTGAATACATTTTCTTGTAGATGTCGACGCCTAGAACTTACTTCCGGTTTCGTTTCTTTGATAACTGCAACCGTTTTTCCGGAATCGACCGTCGAAATATCGAAATTTTTAGAAATTGTCAAAAATTCGCATTTCGCGCCGATTCTTTCGAAAATGTTGCTCCGTGACCATCAACACCCTATATTTTTGGAATCAGCACGTCGAGGTCTACGTCCCTGAATTTTTACAGAATTTTTGGACAATTTTTTTAAAACTGAAATTTTTCCAATGGTCAAATTTTGACATTTTCGAAACTTAACTGAATACATTTTCTTGTAGATTTCGAGGCCTAGAACTCACTTCCGGTCTCGTTTCTTTGATAACTACAACCGGTTTTCCGGAATCGACCGTCGAAATATCGAAATTTTTAGAAATCCTCAAAAATTCGCATTTAGCGCCGATTCTTTCGAAAATGTTGCTCAGTGACCATCAACACCCTATATTTTTGGAATCAGCACGTCGAGATCTACGTCTCTGAATTTTTTCAGAATTTTTAGACAACTTTTTTAAAACTGAAATTTTTCCAATGGTCAAATTTTGACATTTTCGAAACTTAACTGAATACATTTTCTTGTAGATTTAGAGACCTAGAACTCACTTCCGGCCTCGTTTTTTATGATAACTGCAACCGTTTTTCCGGAATCCATCGTCCAAATATCGTAATTTTTACAAATTCTCAAAAATTCGCATCTCGCGCCGATTCTTCCGAAAATGTTGCTCAGTGACCATCAACACCCTATATTTTTGGAATCAGCACGTCGAGATCTACGTCTCTGAATTTTTTCATAATTTTTAGACAACTTTTTTAAAACTGAAATTTTTCCAAACCATCAATACCCTATATTTTTGGAATCAGTACGTCGAGGTCTACGTCCCTGAGTTTTTTCAGAATTTTTAGACAACTTTTTTAAAACTGAAATTTTTCCAATGGTCCCCCTTAAAATTTCGGTCAAATTTTGACATTTTCGAAACTTAATTAAAATTTCGGCCAAATTTTGACATTTTCGAAACTTAACTGAACACATTTTCTTGTAGATTTCGAGGCCTAGAACTCACTTCCGGTCTCGTTTTTTTGATAACTGCAACCGTTTTTCCGGAATCGAACGTCGAAATATCGAAATTTTTAGAAATTCTCAAAAATTCGCATTTCGCGCCGATTCCTTCGAAAATGTTGTTCCGTGACCATCAACACCGTATATTTTTGGAATCAGCACGTCGAGATCTACGTCCCTGAATTTTTTCAGAATTTTTAGACAACTTTTTTAAAACTAAAATTTTTCCAAACCATCAATACCCTATATTTTTGGAATCAGTACGTCGAAGTCTACGTCCCTGAGTTTTTTCAGAATTTTTAGACAACTTTTTTAAAACTGAAATTTTTCCAATGGTCCCCCTTCAAATTTTGGTCAGATTTTGACATTTTCGAAACTTAATTAAAATTTCGGCCAAATTTTGACATTTTCGAAACTTAACTGAACACATTTTCTTGTAGATTTCGACGCCTAGAACTCACTTCCGGTCTCGTTTTTTTTGATAACTGCAACCGTTTTTCCGGAATCGACCGTCGAAATATCGAAATTTTTGGAAATCGTCAAAAATTCGCATTTCGCGCCGATTCTTTCGAAAATGCTGCTCCGGGACCATCAACACCCTATATTTTTGGAATCAACTCGTTGAGATCTACGTCCCTGAATTTTTTCAGAATTTTTAAACAACTTGTTAAAACTGAAATTTTTCCAATAGTCTTCAAATTTCGGCCAAATTTTGACATTTTTGAAACTTAACTGAATACATGTTCTTGTAGATTTTGAGGCCTAGAACTCACTTCCGGTCTCGTTTCTTTGATAACTGCAACGGTTTTTCCGAAATCGACCGTCCAAATATCGAAATTTTTAGAAATTGTCAAAAATTCGCATTTCGCGCCGATTCTTTCGAAAATGTTGCTCCGTGACCATCAACACCCTATATTTTTGGAATCAATATGTCGAAATCTACGTTCCTGATTTTTTTCAGAATTTTTAGACAACTTTTTTAAAACTGAAATTTTTCCCCCTTCTTCAAATTCCGGCCAAATTTTGACATTTTCGAAACTTAACTGAATACATTTTCTTGTAGATTTCGAAGCCTAGAACTCACTTCCGGTCTCGCTTCTTTGATAACTGCAACCGTTTTTCCGGAATCGACCGTCGAAATATCGAAATTTTTATAAATTGTCAAAAATTCGCATTTCGCGCCGATTCTTTCGAAAATGTTGCTCCGTGACCATCAATACCCTATATTTTTGAAATCAGCACGTCGAGATATACGTCCCTAAATTTTTTCAAAATTTTTAGACAACTTTTTTAAAACAGAAATTTTTCCAATGTTCTCCACTTCTTCAAATTTCGGCCAATTTATATTTTGCCTTTTTTTTTTCTTAATGTACATAGTATTCTTTGAAAAAACAGTACTCACAAACATGTTTTTAATATTTTCTGTACAGAAATAAGTATTTTGCACTTTAGCTCCACACCCTTGGTTCACGGCGAATAAAAAAATCGTCACAATAGAGATAGGGCGGGTGGGCGGGCTGACATTTTACTTTTTACTTCCCGAGCGTAAGCAAAGGAAGTATTGTAATCGAGTCCGTCGGCCGACTCTCTACTTTTACGTTTTCTCGATCTTTCATGACCCCTATAAGACGAAGAAATAGGTCTCCCATTTCCGTCTGTCTGTCCGTCTGTCCGTCTGTCCGTCCGTCTGTCCGTCTGTCCGTCCGTCTGTCCGTCTGTCCGTCCGTCTGTCCGTCTGTCCGTCCGTCTGTCCGTCTGTCCGTCTGTCCGTCTGTTGTCCCGGATTTTTATTAGACAGATAATCTCCGAAAGTACTCGACCGATTGTTGTGAAATTTTGTACTTATATTAAGAATATCATGTAGATGGTAAAACGCTAACCAAAATTTGTCTAATCATCCCCACCACTAATGCGATGACGTCACTTCAAAATTGTACATAGTAAATGGGTTTTCAATTGTATAAAATAACATAGTCCTACACATGTAGTTTACAACTCTGAATCGACTTTTCACCCGAAACGTCCAGATTTTTGGAAAAAAAATCAAAATTATAAAACAATATTTTGAAATTTAATTTTTAATCTGCTAACCAGAATGCTTTGAAATGTTGCAGATGTTTTAAGGCTATAAAGAGCATCATAAATCTTTAGTCAAAAAATATTTGCTTATCCCCTCCAAAAACTTGATGACGTCAGCTCAAAAGTTTGTGGAATAAATCATATCTAAAATGTACAAAATATGATGAGTCTGTACTTGTGATCTATCACTCCATTCATATTTTTTGGATTTGCATATACAGGGTGACTCAAAAAAATTAATGAATGCGTAAATATATTTTATTGATTTAATCAGGAACTACAAAACCGAATGCTCTGAAATCTTGCAAATGTTTTAAGGCTATAAAGAGCATCATAAATCTTTAGTCAAAAAATATTTGCTTATCCCCTCCAAAAACTTGATGACGTCAGCTCAAAAGTTTGTGGAATAAATCATATCTAAAATGTACAAAATATATGAGTCTGTACTTGTGATCTATCACTCCATTCATATTTTTTGGATTTGCATATACAGGGTGACTCAAAAAAATTAATGAATGCGTAAATATATTTTATTGATTTAATCAGGAACTACAAGACCGAATGCTCTGAAATCTTGCAGATGTTTTAAGGTCATAAAGAGCATAATAAATGTTTAGTCAAAATATATTTGCTTATCCCCTCCAAAAACTTGATGACGTCAGCTCGAAAATTTGCCGAATAAATCATATCTAAAATGTACAAAATATGATGAGTCTGTACTTGTGATCTATCACTCCATTCATATTTTTTGGATTTGCATATACAGGGTGATTCAAGAAAATAAATGAAAGCGTAAATTTATTTTACTGATTTACTCAGGAACTACAAAACCGAATGCTTCGAAATCTTGAAGATATTTTAAAATTATCATAAGCATGGTAAATTTTTGATCAAAACGTATTTGGTCGTCCCCCCTAAAAAATTTATGATGTCACCACAAAATTTTGCTGAATAAATCCTATCTAAAATGTACAAAATATGGTGAGTCTCTTCTTGTGATTTATCATTCCATTCAAATTTTTTCGATTTGCATATACAGGGTGCCTCAAAAAAATTAATGAATGCGTAAATTTATTTTATTGATTTAATCAGGAACTACAAAACCGAATGCTTTGAAATCTTGCAGATGTTGTAAGGTTATAATAAAGAGCATAATAAATTTTTAGTCAAAATATATTTGGTTATCTTCTACAAAAAACTGATGACGTCAGCTCAAAAGTTTGCCGAATAAATCGTATCTAAAATGTACAAAATATGATGAGTCTGTACTTGTGATTTATCATTCCATTCATATTTTTGGATTTGCATATGCAGGGTGACTCAAAAAAATTAATGAAGGCGTGAATTTATTTTATCGATTTAATCGGGAATTACAAAACCGAATGCTTTGAAATCTTGGGAATATTTTAAAGTTATTATGAGCATGGTAAACTTTTGTTCAAAATGTATTTGTTCATCCCTCCTAAAAAAATTGATGACGTCACCCTTAAATTTTGCTGAATAAATCCTATCTAAAATGCAAAAAATATGATGAGTTTGTACTTGTGATTTATCATTCCATTCATATTTTTTAGATTTTCTTAATAGGTGGTTCAAAAAAATTAATGAAGTCAATTTATTTTATTGATTAAATTAAAGGCAACACTTATTATTAGTATTACACCCCAACCAACCCAATTTGGTAGACACAAAATTTGTTAAAGGAAAAACTCGGTTGAAACATAAGAGTAGCACGCTTATTACAGACCTGCATTTGTTTTATGCGTTCACTTGATTCCGCGAATGTGAAATAGACATGTTTATAATCAACCAATTGTGAATTTCAAGCGGAAGTCGAAGCAATAAAACCGATGGTCGTTTTGTTTACAGTTTCTCTGTTTGGCTCTTACGTATGCTGTTACGCTTGTCATCTTAAATTAAGAATGTTTATACATAAACGATTTTCAGTTGCCCCTCATATTACTAGACAGCGGATTTCTGTCGGGCTACGTCACGATTATAGGGGGGGACGTGCTGGATTCCATAAATATAATTAACGATTTATTAATCAAACGGCTAAGTAAATGAGAACGGGAATTAACAGCAGAGTGCAACGAAACAACGTTATTCTAATCTCAAATAAACGAAGTGCAGTCCGCAACGGCAATGAATTCGCATCCCGTGCGAGCCGTACCGAGTTTGGCCTTGCCTAGCCCGACAGAAATCCGCTCTCTAGATTTTACACACCGGCGCCGTATACGTGAGTAAATTGTTTCGTTATTTTATTGATTATAAGAAATCAATATTCAAAACGACCCAATTCATTTTCCCGAAAATTTGGGAACACAATAATTTTATTCTTAGTATTACACTACATCTATCCCAACTGATATACGTGTCCTTGCAAAAATGTTGATGACGTCATCACAATTTTTTTTTAAATTCCCACTACAAAAATGTAATGAGAAAAAAAAACATAATAGGCATGCAGTCGTCAAGTTTCCGACAGCGAGGGAAGTACTGTCTAAACTCTTTAGACCAATTTTTTGTTTTAATAATTGTAGACTTCTGTTCACAACATGACACTTGAAGTATGCTTAAAATAGAAAATTTGTATAAGGAAATATCGTATTTGCAGTGAAGCCCCCTTGGTTCACGGCGAATAAAAAAATCATCACAATTGAGATAGGGCGGGTGGGCGGGGCTTATATTTTAGTTTTTTTTTCTTAATATATGTTCTTGTCCATAACAAAATACTTAAAACATTTTTATAGAGAAATATATAAATTCATATCGATTTTGCAATGCCCTGCGCTGGTAAAGAATGAAAAATTCATCTCAATTGAAATCCTTAAACAAGAAGTTTTAAGATTCAAATGTCTGACAAAAAATAACCTGCCTTCGAATACAGCAGAAATGAAATATATTGAAAATTTTCTTCAACGAACGATTTGTATAATTTAAATCATTTTCATAAAATGAAAGTCTCTATTCAAGGAAAATGGGGAAACACCTGGAATGGATAAAAAAAACTTCAACATTCGTATTAAGGCGCTCTAACCAAGACGAGATTAAGTGGCGCCATCTTCATGTGTCACTTATTACAGGAACGGTTCATGTTTTCGCTATCTTGTTTTTTTACAACTTTGCGTTTTACCATTTTTACAATTTCATAATTTGCTCCAATGTATATTTTTACAGATTCTTATTCAAACTTATTCTGATTTATGTTACAAAATGCATCAATGGAGGTTAGCACACACAAGATAATCGAAAAACTACATACTTACAGAATCACATGACACCAGTCTTCCCCCCTTCTCGCTAAACTCCAGCAGCGTAATCGGGGCCTTGTGCGGCCCCCCGACCAGCGCGAAATCCTTCGCCCCATTCCACACCTTGAACTCCCCATTTTCCCACCCGGTCGCCAACACCGTCCGCTCCGGATGCCAGGCCAACGCAGTCACTTGAAAACTGCGATGCACAGGGTAGTTTAGGTCGTTCAAAGGCTCCCCCTGCCAACAATCGTTAACAAAGCCACCACACAGTTTATTCACCTCACCAGCTCATCGAAAATCGTCACAAACCCCCCTTTCTCCTGCGAAAAACTGGCCACAGCCAGTAGCGCAGTGTTCGGGTGCCAGATCCCATTCAAAGAAATCGACCCCGCCTCGGGAAAACTCACCGGATTTTCAAAATACAGTGTCATTTTTGGAAGGGTTTGTTTACAAACATTTTGCTGGTTGCTAACACGTTGCTAGGTGCCTGTACCGTGTGGGGGGTTTGGCGCTGATGTTGGTAGTCGTGGTTTTCAAAAATGACAAGAGTGACGTTTTGTTGTAAATATTTCTGTCATGTGGGTGTCAACGTAACGATGAAAAGTAGTTTTTAGCGAAAAATATGGCAGGATTTGTTATTTTTGTTGCGGTTTTTGTCCTTCTAGTATCTATAACGTCATGGTGAGGGTTTGTTTTCCCGTGGCGACGATTCATGCTTGGTTTTAGGGGTTTTAGGAAAATCATCTCCTGGTTGTTCCAGAGGAAGTACAATATTTCGTTAAAAATAGGCAGTATTAGGTTGCCGTATTTGAAATTATGTGATATACAGATCTCCAAGAATGGCTTTAGCATTGTGAGTTGGTGTATCAAGCGCCGAATGTTACATAATGGTGATTTTCAGCAAGTCGATGAAATTAGTATTAAAAGCAGTTTCTTGAACTCAGAACTTACAAAACTAGTCACTTTAGTTGTCAAAGATGTTCGTATTAACAAAGACATTGGGCAGAACCCTGATTTCGTGTCAAATTCGGAGTACAATCCCACTCCACTTGATTTCAGAGATAAGAAAATTCCTCATTTTATCAACACATTTGCACAGGTAGGTTAATCAAAGTGCTTGATTTTCTTTACACAAGGTTTTAGTTTATGGCGGTACACGTGTATAATGTGTCTGCGATGTTGTTACGTTCTGAAACCCCTGGATGTCTTACACATGCCACTGCAGCTGAATTGAGACTAGATGGTAGCATTTTAAAAAATGCGAGCTTGTTATTGGTTACTTTAAATTTAATAGATGCGTCCGCTAAAGTTCTAAGGCATGCTGAAAATCAGTTAAAAGAGAGTTGTTTAGCTGAATTTAGGTTTGGAGTTTCAATGGAGGTGATTTTAGTAGCACAAGGTCCTCTGTCTGTAGAGGTAAATTTAATAATTTTTGTAGAAGTGTAATTAGATTGAAGTTTTAGAAACTCCATTTTAAAATGTGTCAGACAAGTTCTATTATCAATGATAGTTTTTATAGCATTTCTTATGGTAATAAGATTACTAGAAAAGTGGAAGAGGTTGAACATGTTGAAGATGATTTAATACAGAGGATTTTGCCTCTAATACCTAAGGTAGGTTTGTAATTGTAAAGTAAGTCAAGGTCAACGCTATTTCAAATTCACTGAGTATACACAGTGATTTTTTTATTGACTGTATGACAGGCCTGTCAACTGACAAAATAATAATTCCCCAAAAAATATTTCATATATTATCCGTTCACGATCTTTATATAGTAGGGTTGGCCATGAAAATCAATTGAGTTTGTTGAAGAATAAAAATTCCCTGAACTTTTTTCGTTAGGTTATGTTTTATTGAATTAAAGGCTAAAAAATATGTCAGAAATATAAACATTGTTGCCGATACTTCCAATTGTCAGTAGCACTGACCAAGTTAACGGTATCCATTTCTTAGAAACCATAAAACTTGACGCTATTTAAAACAGTTATTATTTTATATTTTTAAAAAATTCAAAAATCGAGAAATGGAAAGATTCCCAAAATTGAGGTGTTGAAAAGTTGAGAAACGGAAAATTTTAAAAATCGTTAAATTGAAAAATGTAACATTAGAAAAGAAAAATTGGAACATTAAAAAATGAAAAAATCGTAAAATAGAAAAATATAAAATCATTATAAATAGAGAAATTGAAGAATTGAAAAATTGGAAAATGTAATAATTCAAAAAAAAAAAAAAAATTGAAAAAACTATTTTAGGCATTTTCTTTTTAAATAATGTCGCAATGATCCGTGAATCTGTCACAATGACAAATTATGTATGCTGACAAAATTAAAACATTTGTTTGCTTGATAAAAAAATTGTGTCTAATAATTCTGATCTTATATTTTGCCTTTGTTTTCTTAACATACATATAGCCATCTTTTCACAACAAAAAACTTAGAACATGATTAAAATGGTACGTTTTTGTAAGGAAATGTAGATTTTGCAATTATGTTATGAGGCGGAGCCTAATTACATAATTGATATTTCCGTATACAAATTTTCCATTTTAAACATAAGCCCACCCACCCGCCCTATCTCAATTGTGATGATTTTTTTTAATCGTTGTGAATCAAGTGGGGGGAGCTTACCGGCAAAATATTTGTTTCTTTACAAGAAAATAAAAATATTTTCTTGAATAAGACGATATTCAAGAACATATAAACATAGAAACGACGAATAAAAAAATCATCGGAATTAAGATAGGGCGGGTGGGGCTCATATTTTGTCTTTTTTTTCTTAATATCTACATAGCCATCTTTTCACAACAAAAAAACATGTACATTAAGAAAAAAAGGCTAAATATAAACCCCGCCCACCCACCCATCTCAATTGTGATGATTTTTTTCATTCTTAGAAACATAAAACAGGTTTCCAATAGTAAATTTTTGTAAGGCATTATGGATTTTGCAATTAGGATCCGCCCCTCGGCTTACGACGAATAAAAAAAAATCATCAGAATTGAGATAGGGCGGGTGGGCAGGGCTTATATTTTGTTTTTTATTTTCTTAATATACATAGCCATCTTTTCACAACAAAAACAACATGTACATTAAGAAAAAAAGGCTAAACATAAACCCCGCCCCCCCACCCCATTTCAATTGTGATGATTTTTTTGTATTCTTAGAATCTCAAAACACGTTTACAATAGTAAATTTTTGTAAGGCATTATGAATTTTGCAATTAGGATCCGCCTCTCGGCTTACGACGAATAAAAAAATCATCAGATTTAAGATAGGGCGGGTGGGCGGGGCTTATTTTTTGTCTTTTATTTTCTTAATATACATAGCCATCTTTTCACAAAAAAAACAACATGTACATTAAGAAAGAAAACGCTAAATATAAACCCCGCCCACCCACCCCATCTCAATTGTGATGATTTTTTTTATTCTTAGAATCTCAAAACACGCTTACAATAGTAAATTTTTGTAAGGCATTATGGATTTTGCAATTAGGATCCGCCTCTCGGCTTACGACGAATAAAAAAAAATCATCAGAATTGAGATAGGGCGGGTGGGCGGGGCTTATATTTTGTCTTTTATTTTCTTAATATACATAGCCATCTTTGCACAACAAAAACAACATGTACATTATGAAAGAAAACGCTAAATATAAACCCCGCCCACCCACCCCATCTCAATTGTGATGATTTTTTTTATTCTTAGAATCTCAAAACACGCTTACAATAGTAAATTTTTGTAAGGCATTATGGATTTTGCAATTAGGATCCGCCTCTCGGCTTACGACGAATAAAAAAAATCATCAGAATTGAGATAGGGCGGGTGGGCGGGGCTTATATTTTGTCTTTTATTTTCTTAATATACATAGCCATCTTTGCACAACAAAAACAACATGTACATTATGAAAAAAAGGCTAAATATAAACCCCGCCCACCCACCCCATCTCAATTGTGATGATTTTTTTTTTATTCTTAGAATCTCAAAACACGTTTACAATAGTAAATTTTTGTAAGGCATTATGAATTTTGCAAGTAGGATCCGCCTCTCGGCTTACGACGAATAAAAAAAAATCATCAGAATTGGGATAGGGCGGGTGGGCGGAGCTTATATTTTGTCTTTCATTTTCTTAATGTACATAGCCATCTTTTCACAACAAAAACAACATGTACATTAAGAAAAAAATGCTAAATATAAACCCCGCCCACCCACCCCATCTCAATTGTGATGATTTTTTTTATTCTTAGAATCTCAAAACACGTTTACAATAGTAAATTTTTGTAATGCATTATGAATTTTGCAATTAGGATCTGCCTCTCGGCTTACGACGAATACAAAAATCATCAGATTTAAGATAGGGCGGGTGGGCGGGGCTTATATTTTGTCTTTTATTTTCTTAATATACATAGCCATTTTTTCACAAAAAAAAACAACATGAACATTAACAAAAAAAGGCTAAATATAAACCCCACCCACCCACCCCATCTCAATTGTGATGATTTTTTTATTCTTAGAATCTCAAAAAACGTTTACAATAGTAAATTTTTATAAGGCATTATGAATTTTGCAATTAGGATCCGCCTCTCGGCTTACGACGAATAAAAAAAAATCATCAGATTTAAGATAGGGCGGGTGGGCGGGGCTTATATTTTGTCTTTTATTTTCTTAATATACATAGCCATCTTTTCACAACAAAAACAACATGTACATTAAGAAAAAAAGGCTAAATATAAACCCCGCCCACCCACCCCATCTCAATTGTGATGATTTTTTTATTCTTAGAATCTCAAAACACGTTTACAATAGTAAATTTTTGTAAGGCATTACGGATTGTGCAATTAGGATCCGCCTCTCGGCTTACGTCGAATAAAAAAATTATCAGAATTGAGACAGGGCGGGTGGGCGGGGCTTATATTTTGTCTTTTATTTTCTTAATATACATAGCCATCTTTTCACAACAAAAACAACATGTACATTAAGAAAAAAGGCTAAATATAAACCCCGCCCACCCACCCCATCTCAATTCTGATGATTTTTTTCATTCGCCGTAAACCAAGGGGGCGGAGCTTAACTGCAAAATACTTTTTGCTGTACAAGAAATTAAAAACATATTTTTGAGTATCGTGTTCAAAAAATGCAGGCATATTAAGAATAAAAGGCTAAATATAAACCCCGCCCACCCACCTCATCTCAATTGTGATGTTTTTTTTATTCTTAAAAACTTCAAACACGTTTAAAATGATATATGGTATCATATATTGACTCCGACTAACTCTGTATAGTTAAATAAAGTAGAAAAGTGGCAATCCAGCTCAAAGCAAATGTCAATCAGACTACTGCCAGACAAAAAACTAAATCATCAAATCAGTTTATCCAACTTAAAGAAAAAATATCAAAGCCTACTTTACTTTATAAAGATCGTGAATGGATAATATTTTAAAATAATAAATTTTCATTGCGTCTTAGGTATGCTTCCTACAAATCGACGACACCTCCCTCAAAGGTGTGAAAGAAAACAGCCAGATCGAGTACAACTCGTCCTTGAAAAAACTAGCCCTAACCTACAGGTGCTCAAAATCCGAAAACTCCGGAGTTTTCCCCCACGTGTCCTTCAACTTCTCCATGTGCGACCTGCGCTTACAAAACAGCAAAGAAAAACTCCTTTCCTTAAAATCCCTCTCAGTCGACGCCAAGCTGAAAGGCGACATCGTCAACATCTACTTCCAAATGAACACATTCTTGATAACGTACAACCACGACGTCATCCACCGCTGGGTCTACAACAACTTCCTCAAAAACCGCCAACTACATCACCTGAAAGAAAAAACTGACACAACGAAAACGGTTGCCACCAGTCCTGGCAACTCCCTAATCGAGAACATCGTCAAAAAGCTGGTGATAAACATCTGCGCGGAGTTTTCGCAAGTCTCCGCCACTATTAAGCTCAGCGGCCACAACTCCTCCGTGGGTTTCAACCACGTCAAGCTCATGCTGGAGCAAGCGCAGAAGCACAGAGGTCCTTCGTATAATTCGTATTTTCTGAATTTGCTGCTTCTGGACCGGCACTGGCAGACGGAGTGTCTGATTGAGTCGTTCTGGTGGAGCTTCAAGGAGTGGAATCAGGACGCTAATGTTTCGAAGAAGATGCATATTTGGGCCACTCCAGTTTATTTTGTCAAGGTTTTGGTGAAGGTGTGTACGCACGAGAATAGTCAGATGGAGGTTGTGGCGTTTTTGGATATGGTGCAGCTGGAGTGGTCGCTGGAGTTGGCGGCGTGTGTGCTTTTGGCTATCAAGTAGGTTGGGTGGGAGTTGTGGCGGGTGTTTTAGTTTTAATTTTGTGTTTTAGGTGTTTGAAGCAGTATGGGTTGGACAGGGAGAAGATTTCGGGGGAGAGGAGGGTGGAGAAGGGGGGGTTGGGGCCGCAGGTGTATGTGAATGTGGGGATTAATTATTTTAACTGTTTCTTCCAGTCGCAGAATACAGGTAATTTTTATGATTTTGATTTTAATTAATAAATAACAGCGCTATTTGCATGCTATTTTACACATTTTAAATAGTATTTACTTGGTAAAGTTTTGAGGTGACGTCACCAAAATTTTGGTGGGGATGGTGCGACAAATTTTGATTGGCTGATGATAATCTCGAACCATGTACTAAATTTCGAAGTTTTTCTTTTACAAAAAGTCAGTTCATGTCGTCACCAAATTTTTGTAGGGGTTAAACGAATAATTTGCACATTTTTTGAGCTAAATTTACAGACTTTTATATGATTTTGAATTTTTTCCCAAAAATCTTGATATCCGAGGTAAAAAATTGGTCGAAAGTTATCTCGATGGAACTTCCCTTGCCTCTGAAAGGCAGCCCAACAAATCCCGCTTTCCGTTATAAAAATTTTTTACGATTTTTTTTGACAACCTCTATAAATTAAAAACTAGTGGCGTAGATAACATTTCCATGGCCTTCTTGAAAAATCGAAATATCGAGAAATCGAGCAATGGAAAATAAAAAAATTTTGAAATCTAAAAATTGCAAAATCGAAAAACTAATCCGAAAAGTTGGAAAATCGAGCAATTGACTTAAAAAAAAAAATTAAAAACCTAACATTTTAAAAATCGAGAAATCAAAAAATTAAAATTAAACTATTAGAAATCAAAACACCAAAAAGTCGAGAAATCAACAAACCGAAAAATCTAAAATTAAAAAATTCAAAAATTGAAAAACCCAGAAATGGAAAAAAAATCCCAAAATTGAAGTGTTGAAAAATTGAGAAATCCAAAACTTGAAAAACTGGGAAGTTGAGAAATGGAAAATAGGAAAAATTGAAACATTAAAAAATTAAAAAATTGTAAAATCGAAAAATCGAAATAGTGCAAAATCGAAAAATTACATTTTAAACGATTGACAAAAAAAATCGATAAATTGATGAAAAACCGAGAAATCATAAGGAGAAATCTAAAAATTTAAAAACGGAAAAATTGAAAAATCTAAAAATTAAAATTTAAAAATCAAAAACTGGAAAATCAATAAAATGAAAAGTCGAAAAATCGAAAATTTAAAAAGTAAAAAATTGACATGTCAAAAATTGAATAATCCCAAAACTCAAATATCGAGAAATTGAAAAATCCCAAAACAAATGCAAAAATTGGGAAATCGAAAAATTGAAAAATCGAAACATCGGAAAATTTTAAAATCGAAAAATCAAAATTGAAAAACCAGCAAATCGGAACATTGAGAAATGGAAACATTAAAAGATCGAAAAATTGAAAAATCGAGAAATCGAAATAGCCCAAAACCGAAATATCGAAAAATTAAAATTTAAAAAACTGAAAAATTGGGATAGAAAAATTGAAGAATCGAAAAACTGAAAAATACCAAAACTCGAATATCGATAAATTTAATCAATCAAAATTTGAAAAATTGAAAAATCCAAACATCGAAAAATTTGAAAATCGAAAAGTTGAAAAATCGAAAAAACCGAAACATCGAAAATTCGAGAAATCGAGAAGTCGAAAAATTGAGAAATCGAGAAATCGGATACCCCAAAATCGAATAATCAAAAAATTAAAATTTGAAAAATAAAAAATTAAACATCAAGAAATCAAAATATCAAAAACGGAAAACTTAACCAAAATTGAGAAATCGAAAAGTTGACCAACTGAAACATTCAATAATTAAAAAATTGTAAAATAGAAAAATGTTAAATTAGAAAAGAAAAATTGAAAAATCCAAAAATTGAAGAATTGAAAAATCGAGAAAAAAAATTGTCCAAAGTCGAAAAATTAAACTGTGGAAAGTCGAAAAATCGGGAAACAATCGAAACATCGAAATCATATAAACAGAGAAATTGAAAAATTGAAAAACTGAAAAATCGAAAAATTTAAAAAACCAAAAATTGAAAAATGAAAAGTTGAAAAATCAAAAAATTAATAAAACGAGAAATCGAAAAATTTAAAATTAAAAGAATAAAAAATAAACATTTAAAAAACTGAAGAATCGAACAACTGAAAAAACCCAAAATTCAAATATTATTCGAAATTGATAAATGGATACATTGAAAAATCGAAAAACTGCAATCCGAAAAATCGAGCAATCGAAACGTAAAAATTTTAAAATCTAAAACTTAAAAAATCGAGAAATAGAAAAATTAAAGATAAAACATTAAGAAATCGAGACAGCAAAAGATCGACAAACCGAAAAATCTAAAATTTAAAAAATCGAAAAATTGAAAAATTCAGAAATGGAAAAATTCCCAAAATTGAGGTGTTGAAAAGTTGAGAAATCGAAAACTTTTTTTTTTAAATTGAGACATTTAAAAACTATCGTTAAACAGAAAAATGTGAGATGAGCAAAGAAAAATTGAAAAAGAGAAATCGAAAATTTTAAACATTAAAAAATTTAAAATCAAAGAATACTAAATTTGAAAAGAAAAACCGAAAAATTCAAAAATTGAAGCATCAAAAAATTTAAAAAAATTAAAAAATGAGAAGCATCAAAAAATTAAAAAATGAGAAATCAAAATTAGTCCAAAATTGAAAAATTAAACTCTGAAAAATTTATAAATTAAAAAAAATTGGTAAATTGCTGAAAACCGAGAAATTATAAACACAGAAATTGAAAAACTGAAAAATTTGACGGAAATTCCCTGAGTACAAAAATGGAAATATCTAAAAATGTAAAATTTAAAAAACGAAAAATCAAAACCTGAAAAATCAACAAAACGAGAATTCGAAAATTTCAAAATTTAAAAAATTAAAAATTAAAATATCAAAAAATTGATGAATCGAAAAATTGAAAAAGCCCAAAACTCAAATATCGGAAAGTTGATCAATCCAGAAATTGAAAAACTGAAGAATAGAAGAAAAATTGAAAAATCGAAACATCGAAAAATTTGAAAATCTTAAAAAGTCGAAAAATAGAAAAACCGACAAATCGAAAAATTAAAAATCGAAGCATCAAAAGATCGAGATGTCGAGAAATCGACAAACCAAAAAATCTATAATTTAAAAAACGAAAATTTTCCGTTTTTGGATAATTTCCCAAAATTGAGGTATTAGTTGAGAAATCGAAAACTTGAAAAAATTGAAAAATGTAAAAATCAAAAAACGAAAAATTGAAAAATCAAAAACTGAAAAATTAATAAAACCAGATATCCAAAAATTTTAAAAATTAAAATTTCCAAAAATTGAATCGAAAAATTTAAAAATCCCAAGACTCAAATATCGGAAAATTGATCAATGGATAGAATGGAAAATTGAAAAATTGAAGAATCGAGAAATTGAAAAATCCCAAAACTGAAATGCAAAAATTGGGAAATCGAAAAATTGAAAAGTCGAAATATCGAAAAATTTGAAAATCGTAAAATCGAAAAACTAAAAATAAAACATCAAGAAATCAAAACACCCAAAGATGGATAAGTCGTGAAATCGACAAACCAAAAAATATGAAATTAAAAAAAAAATTGAAAAATCGAGAAATAGAAAAATTCTCAAAATTGAGGTGTTAAAAAGTTGGGAAATCGAAAGCTTGGAAAATTGAAACATTAAAAAATTTAAAAATCCTAAAATAGAAACATGTAAAATTTGAAAAATCAAAAAATCGAGAAACATTAATCGAAACATCGAAATCATAGAGAAATTGAAAAATCATAAAACGAGAAATCGAAAAATCGAAAATTTAAAAAATTAAAATACTAAAAAATTGAAGAATCGAAAAATTGAGAAATACCAAAACTCAAATGTCGAAAATCAAATTGAAAAATTGAAAAAACAAAATGTTAAACATTGGGAAATTGGAAAATTGAAAACTCGAAACATTGAAAAATTTGAAAATCGAAAAGTCGAAAAACCGAGAAATCGCGAAAATCGAAACATTGAACAACTGGAAAATCGATACATCAAGATATGGAAACATCAAAAGAGCGAGAAATCGAGACATCGAAAAATTGTAAAATCGAAAAGTCGAAGTAGACCAAAATTGAAATATAGAAAAATTAAAATTCAAGATGAAAAATTTAAATTTAAAAACATCGATAAATTGATAAATTGAAAAATTGAAAATTTGAAATATCTGAAAACAGCAGAATCGAAATATCGAAATCATAAATAGAGAAATCGAAAAATCTAAAATTTTGAAAATAAAAAATTAAGGTATAAAAAATCTGAAGAATCGAAAAATTCAAAAATACCAAAACTCCAATATCGAAAAATTATCAATCGATACTTTGAAAAATCGATAAAAAAATGAAAAATCAAGAAAATGTGAAATCTCAGAACTGAAATGTAGAAAAATTGGGAAATCGAAAAATTCTAAAATCGAAACATCAATAAAACTGATTTCGAAAAATTGAAAAATCGAAAAGTCGAAAATTTTTTTCTCAAAACTGAAATAATGAAAAATCGACTATTCGAAAAATTGAAAAATTAGCAAATCGAGAAATTGAAAAATCGAAAAATTAAAAATCGAAAATACATGTAGTTGCAGTGATAAACCACAAGTAAATACATTGATAAGACGTAATCAAATTTTTGGAGGGGATAAACGAAGAAATTTTAAGATTTTGTGTTTTTTAAGATGAATTTATAGATTTTTTCTATGACTTAGAATTTAGATGTCTAAGGTGAAAAATAAGGGCGGATTAATAAATCACAGCGCTATTTGTATATTATTTTACACATTTTAAATAGCATTTTCTTGGCAAAGTTTTGAAGTGACGTCACTAAAATTTTAGTGGGGTTTCGATTATTAGTGTTATATAAATATAAATATCAATCAAAATTAATTTCAACTTCACAAGATCAGTCTAGTTTTCTCTTGACTTAAAAAATTTTAGTTTTTTTTAAATTTGCCCCCTGAGAGCCCTCTCTACCCATTTCAGAATACTTCGTCGTCCAACTAAACTCCGTCGACATCACCAAAACCCTCGACTCCACCAACGTAAAATTCGAAGAATTCAAAATCTTCACCGTTAACAACACCGGCGCCTACTACTGCTGCCTCCGCACCGAAGACATCTCGAACTTCAAAACCTTCGTTCAACAAGCCCAGATCGACTTCCGCCCCTCCGAAAACAGCATAAGCCTATCCGAAGAGATCCGCATCTACTGGTCCACCAACTTCCACCTCAAAACCCTCCTCCTCGTCCGCGACATCCTCGACTTCGTCAACGACCTCCGCGAGGAGATCAACCTGCCCCTGCGCCAAACCCCGCCCTCCAACGACACCGTCTACACCTGCTCCATCAGCGGCATCTTCGCCTTCTACATCGAGATCTCGCACAAGTACTCCGCGAAGATCTCCATCGACGGCTTAAACATCTCCAAGACCCCGCACGATCTCTCCGTGGAGAACACCGCCGCCGTGGTGGCCATCGACGGCGCGGATATTTTCACCATCAAAGGTCTAGCAGTGCACAGAATCGTCGATAGTCAATTGATCCGAGACGAGCGTCTGGATAACGAGAATTTCAAAGTCGCTTGGAATAAGACGTGGGGGCTTTCGGTGGATTTGTTCAAGGCCGTTTTTCCGTACAAGCACAATTATGCGGATGCCGTGCAGAATGAGCTCATTTCCGTATTTAAGTGGTTGAAGATCGTGCATAATTATAAGAAGGTTCCGTTTACGGGGGACAGTCCGCTTCCGAGCGATTTGTTGATTAATGTTAAGGAGTTCTTGTTTGAGATGAGCGACGACCCGTTCGAGGTGAAGCTGAGGGACAACTTTGAGCTTCTGGAGGACGAGTACAACGAGAGCACCAAGAGGCTGAAGATGCTCAAGGAGAAGGTGGCGGAGTTGTGCAAAACGCATCTGCATTTACCAGCCGGGAAGGTGGAGGAGTTGTACAATAATTTGAATAGGAAGAACGCGGAGATTTACATCCAGAGGTCGAAGCAGATGCTGCGGAACGCCCCACCGAGGACGAGGTTGTTCGCCTGGAGCATGACCATGGTGGAAATCATGGTAAATTGTTTCCACTTATTTATTATTATTTTTTTTTATTATGGATACTTAAATATCTAAAGATTTTGGCGGATCCGTCCATCCACGGCGCCGAGAACGTGATCAAAGTGATGAAGGAAATCGACGCGGACACTCCATGGCCCGAGGAGCACCTGGAGTTCACCACCTTGTGGTGTCGCGTGGTGTCCTTGAGGTGTAAGGAGTGGAAGTTTCAGCTGAGGGATTTCCCGCAGCCTTTGCTGGATATCAGGCAGTGCTACATTTGTGGGCAGCTGGTGGGGGCGGAGCAGGTGGCGCCAAGACGGGGTAAGGTGCAACTAAGCGTTTATTTTATTTTTTATCGGGTGGTGACAATGCGTCGGTGGAGCGCTTTTTGCGGGAAAATGCGCCCATCATGTCCATGAGTCCCTGGGCCATGTCCATGAAGTCGAGGACGAAGCCGATGAGGCCGTCGATGATGTCGTCGGTCATGGACATCTTGTTCGAGTTTCTTATTGGGGCATTTTTCGCCTGGAAATTGACGCTGTTAGAGTGTAAAAGTCTGGTAGTAGGCCGTGAAATTTATTTTGACGTTTATTTGACAGTTATTTGATTTAAACTGTGAAATTGAATAAGGAACGCATTGGTGTTGTTGCTTTAAAAATAAATTTGATAAAAAGTGAGGTTAGTTAAACTGTTCTGCTGGGGTTTTTTGTTGAATACGATTGACATCGAAAAAACACCCTATACCCAGTAATTTTCCAAAATTTACACTAGTAAGTACATATATGATAAATGAAATCCAGAAATTATGTGTTGTGTTGTAAAAAATTTTGGGTTATTAATTTGGTGACTAACTGAATGAAGCAAATTTTTGAGTTGGCAATTCTGACTGACAGCATTGTTAACATGTCAGTTTACAGTTGTCAACTTTGACAGGAGCGCGTCTAACACGCGATGGGAAGATGACTTAAATTTCATTTTGACAATCGGGTATGGCATGATAAAAGTTTAAATATGTTGCCAACCTGACAAAAAATTTTCCTGGAGCAGTTGCAATTCTTGTCGAAGATTTTCGAAGGTTAGGTTCTTGACGTTTGCCGAAGATTTTGGAACGCCGTACTTTATAAAATTTGTAAAGTGTATAAAGTAAGCAAAAATTAAAAAAAAATAAAATAAAAATAACAAAAAGTTAAAGAATCGAAAAATTGAAAAATCCCAAAACTCACATATCGGAATAAAATTTGAAATTTGAAAACTCGAAAAACAGAAAAACAGAAATCTAAAAATCGAAATATCGGACAATTGGAAAATCGAAACACCGAGAAATGGAAACATCAAAGGATCGAGAAATCGAAAAATTAAAAATTGAAAAATGTAAAAACTGAAAAATTGAAAAACTGAAAAATCGAAAAATTTAAAAACCGAAAAATTGCAAAATCGAAATAAATCGAGAAATGGAAAATTCTAAAATTTAAAAAATTAAAAATTGAAGTATCAAAACAGTGAAGAATCGAAAAATTGAAGAATACGAAAACTCAAAAATCCAAATATTTGATTAATTGATAAATTGAAAAATTGAAATAAAAAAATCCAGAAACTGAAAAAAGTGGCGTAGATAACATTCCCGTGGCCTTCTTGAAAATCGAAATATCAAGAAATCGAATACTGGAAAATTTTTTAAAATCGAAGAATTGAAAAATCGAAAAACTAATCCGAAAGTCAAAAAATCGAGCAAATGAAACTTAAAAAAAATTAAATCCCTAAAATTTAAAAAATTGAGAAATCAAAAAACTAATAATAAAACATCAAGAAATCAAAATACCAAAAAATCGAGAAGTCGAGAAATCAACAAACCGAAAAGTTTAAAATTTAAAATATTCGAAATTGGGGTGCTGAAAAGTTGAGATCTCGAAAACGTGAAAAATGTAAAATTAGGAAAGGAAAACTGGAAAATCGATAAATCGAAATTACCCAAAATCGAAAAATGAAATTTTGGAAAATCGAAAAATCGGGAAACAATCGAAACATCGAAATCATATTGTATATAGAGAAATTGAAAAATTGAAAAATCGGAAAATTTTAAAAATAAAAAATTTACATCAAAAAATTGAAAAATACCAAAACTCAAATATTGGAAAATTGATCAATAATTAGATTGAAAAATTGAAAAACCGAAGAAAAATTGAAAAATCTCAAAATTGAAATCTAGAAAAATTGGGAAATCGAAAAATTGAAAAATCCAAACATCGAAAAATTTGAAAATCGAAAAGTTGAAAAATAGAAAAACTAAGAAATCAAAAAATCGAAACATCGGACAATTATTGGAAAATCGAAACTTCGAGAAATAGAAACATCAAAAGATTCTGAAATCGAGAAGTCGAAAAATTGAAAAATCGAGAAATCGAAATAGCAGAAAATCGAAATATCGAAAAACTAAAATTTAGAAAACTGAAAAATTTTAGTTTAAAATAAATCGATAAATTGAAAAATGGAGAAACAGAATATCGAAATCTCGAAATCATAAGTAGAGAAATCAAAAAATGTAACATTTAAAAAATGAAAAATTGAAAATTGCAAAACCGAAAATAAAAAAAAAAAAAACGAGAAATTGAAAAGCTAAAATTTAAAAAATTAAAAATTGAAGCATCGAAAAATTGAAAAATACCAAAACTGAAATGTAAAAATTAGAAAATCGCAAAATTGCAAATTCGAAACATCGAGAAATGAAAACATCTAAAGATAGAGAAATCGAGAAGTCGAAAAATTAAGATTTAAAAAATTGAAAAATTTAAGTTAAAAAAAATCACTAAATTGAAAATTCGAAAAATCGGGTAACAGATTATCGAAATCATAAGTAGAGAAATCGAAAAATTGAAACACTGAAAAGTCGAAAAACTTTACCGAAAAATTGAAAAATAGGAAAATGTAAAATTTAAAAAATGAAAAACAGAAAATCGAAAAACTGAAAAATCAAAAAACGAGAAATCGAAAATATCTAAAATTTAAAAAATGAAAAATTTAGATAGGTCTCAAAAAATGGAAGAATCGAAAAATTGGAAAATATCAAAACTGTAATATCGAAAAATTTGATTAATCGATAAATTGAAAAACTGAAAAAAAATGAAAATCCAGAAATTGAAAAATTTCAAAATTGAAGTGTAGAAAAATTGGGAAATCGATACATTGAGAAATCGATACATCAAAAGTCCGAGAAACCGGGAATACGAAAAATTGATAAATCGAGAAATCGAATAGCCCAAAATCGAAATATCAAAAAATTAAAATTTGAAAAACCCAAAAATTTAAATTTAAAAAAAATCTATAAATTTAAAAATCAATTAATCAGGAAAATGACTACCTAATCGAAAAATCGAAACATCGAATTCTTAGAAATAGAGAAATCGAAAAACATGAAAAACAAAAACTTAAGAACCGAAAAATTGAAAAATCGAAAAACTAGAAAGTCAAAACAATCCAGAAATCGAAAAATTGAAAAATCGAAGAAAAATTGAAGAATCGAAAAATTGAAAGATAAAATTCAAATAACCCAAAGTTCATCAATCAATAAATTGAAAAATTGAAAAAATCGAAGAAAAATTGAAGAATCGGAAAATTGGAAAATTCCAATACTGAAATGTAAAAATTGGGGAATAAAAAAATGAAAAATCGAAACATCGAGAAATTGAAAATCGAAAAGTCGAAAAAGCAAGAAACCGAAACAGTGCACAATTGGAAAATCGAAACATCGAGAAGTGGAAACATGAATAAATAGAGAAATCGAGAAATCGAAAAATTGAAAAATGGAGAAATCGAAATAGCCCAAAGTGGAAAAACTGAAGAAAAAATCGATAAATTGAAAAATTGATGAAAAATCGGGAAACAGCATAATCGAAATATCGACATCATAAGTAGAGAAATCGAAAAATTGAAAAACTGAAAAATCGAAAAATTTAAAAACCAAAAAATTGAAAAATCCAAAAATCTAAAATTTAAAAAATGAAAATTTGAAAATCGAAAAACTGAAAAATCGAAATAACAAGAAATCGAAAAATCTAAAATTTAAAAAATAAAAAATTGAAATATCAAAAAATCGAAGAATCGGAAAATTGAAAAATACCAAAACTCGAATATCGAAAAATTTGATTCATCCAGAAATTGCAAAAGTTTCAAAACTGAAATGTAGAAAAATTGGGAAATCGAAAAATTGAAAAATCCAAACATCGAAAAATTTGAAAATCGAAAAGTCGAAAAATTGAAACACCCAGAAATTGAAAAATCGAACAACTGGAAAATCGATACATTGAGAAATCGAAACATCAAAAGTTTGAGAAATCGAGAAGTAGAAAAATTGAATATGTAATCGAAATATGTATGTAAAATTGAAAAACGAAAAATTGAATAATCGAAAAATTGAGTCCCAAAAACTCAAATATCGGAAAATTGATCAATCGATAAATTGAAAAACTGAAAAATCGAAGAAAAATTAAAGAATCCAGAAACTGAAAAAATCCAAACAGAAAAATTTAAAAATCGAAAAGTCGAAAAATAGAAAAACTGGGAAATTGAAAAATCGAGAAATCGAAATATCGAAAAATTTAAATTTAAAAAAATCGACAAATTGAAAAATCGGTAAACAGAACAATCGAAAAATCGAAAAATTGAAAAAGTGAAAAATAGAGAAATTTAAAAACCGAAAAATCGTAAAATGTAAAATTTAAAAAATGAAAAATAGAGAAATTTAAAAACCGAAAAATCGTAAAATTGAAAAATCCAAACATCAAAAAATTTGAAAATGGAAAAGTCAGAAAATCGAATCACCGAAAAATCGAAAAACCGAAACATCGAACATCTGGAAAATCGATACATTGAGAAATCGATACATCAAAATTTCTGGAAATTGAGAAGTCGAAAATCGATAAAATCCAGAAATTGGATAGTCCAAAATCGAAATATCAAAAAATTAAAATTTGAAAAACCAAAAAATTTAAACTAAAAAAAATCGATAAAACAGGAAACTGAATAATTGAAAAATCTTCCCTTGCACGTGAAGTACATCAAACAATTCCAGCTTTTTCGAAAATCGTAAAATTTGACTTTGGGAAACTTTATTTTTTTTGCCCCTACAAGTTAAAAAATATAGATAATACCAGTTACAGTTTTAAGAAAAAAAAAAGCTCATAAGTGTATTGAACTGATAACAGAATCAGACCCGCGATCTTCGTATTATTAAGACAATTCTCCCAGCAACGGAACAACACTACTGACGTATTCTATTACTTTTATTAGTACAGATAAAAGGTTGGTATACAGTTCGGATTTTTTGC